GCCCCCGAGCACAATACATCCCCTAATGAGCGATGTGCGGCCATGTCACACCGCGCCTCGTCGCCGGAGCCGCCGTGCCAGGGGCAGTTTGGTGCCCCGGACTGCTTGGCGGCCCTGAGGCGCTGAGCTGCCAGCGCCTAAATGCCAACACTACACGGAGTTCCCAAGCGGTCACCCATCTAACTACTATCCGTGCACAGCGTTGCTTAACTTTCGTGATCAGACGAAAACGAGTGTTTTTTTTTTTTAAACTGTTTATTAAAACCCAATATACAATTATAAATACATTATGGTGTTCACAATAAACGGTGAATTTATATAATGGTTTCTTAGGCAAAGGTACCGATACGCAAAGGTACGACGTAGCCATGCTTCGATACGCAACGGTACGACGTAGCCATGCTGTAATATGTGTCGACGCCTTACATTTTTCGTGTTGAATATATCTTTTGAATATTTAAATTGAATATTGAATAATTGAATATTGAATATTTAAGTTGAATATTTAAGCCGCTGGAGGAGCGGAGCTTCTATGTGATTTTGTTTTTACTTGTTTTTATTGTCCTGGAAAATGGGTCGCAAAAACAAGACGCTTCGGTAGTATATTTTTGGGTGTTGTGGAATTTGGGGGAGGGGTGGGATGAGGAGGAGGAGGAGGGGGATGTTAAATAAATAAGTTTCTTTTAAAGGAAGGAGAATTGCAATAATTACAATGTTTGCACCTGTGTTGTACGGGGGCAGAATTGAGTTTTATCGGTTTAATGGGTTTTCTCTCTTATTTTATTATGGGTTCAGTATCCACCAATATTTTTTTGTATTTTTCCTATGTTTATCTTTGGTGTCTTTCAGAGGGAGGGCCATGTTGTATCTCCATCTAGTGTCTGCGGTCTGTCCATCTAGGTTTTCTTCGTAAAGTATAGTTTGGGTTCCTATTTTTCTTTTTATGTGATAAATTATCGGGATGTTATTTTGGTCCTGGAGGTAGTTTTTTTCGTCAAGGTATGGGAAAGCTTCTGGCGGGATGTAGCCTGTTGTCAGAGTGTTTTTGTAATATGCGTCATTTGGAAATAAGCAACTGAAGATTAAACTATTTTCTTTTATCTTGGCCGCTTGCGCGAAGTGGTTTCTTATTAGCTTTAGGATGTGACAGTCTATGCGGTGAATGTTGGCTAGGTCGTATATTATTTTGTTTTTTACATATTTTTTGAATCCGCTGTGTTCGGATCTGTAAGTACTCAAGCAAGCCCTGATGTATTTTCTTTCCAATATGCGAATTTTTTCCATTTGGGAGGCTGATATGTTGTATCAGATTGGGCAGCCGTAGGTTATGATCGGTCTGATTAGTGATAGCATAGTATTTTTACTTTGCTGTCGAGATGTTTGGAGTAGAATAGTTTTTTTATTTTCCAGAATGCTTTTTATTGGCCTTAGTAAGTTGAATTTCGGTGTGCTGCTTGTAGTTTAATTCATAGTCTATGTTTACTCCTAGGTATTTTACGCAATTTTTGTGTGGTTATGCTTACTCCTAGGTATTTTACGCAGTTTTTGTGTGGTATGAGTGCCCCTTTGTTTGTTTTTTCTCTTAGTTGGAATTTTTTGCAGTATTCTCTTTCTATTGGGCCGATTTCACTTGACTTGAGTCTAAACAGTATGGTTTCGCATTTGCTTATGTTGATTTTTAGTTTCCATGCGTGGTAATAGTCGTTTATTTTCTCAAAAAGTTCTTGGAGTTCCGTTTTTATTGTTTTGATTTTCATTGTTTTGGTTTTGCGGCCTGTTATGTAGATGATTAGGTCATCTGCGAAAACTATGGAGCATTTATGGGTGGATGTATTGAGATTAAAGAGATTTAATAAGTCACTGTTTTAAATACTGAAAAGTAACGGGGAATTTACTGTACCTTGCTGTAGACCGTTTTTTATGGAGAATTCTTTGCTTGATGAGTGTGAACCTTCAGTCATTACGAATGTTCTGCTTGTGATCATGTCCCATACTATTTTAATCAGGTATTTAGGAAAATTTTTCTTGATCAATTTGTATATGAGACCTGGAATCCAGATTGTGTCGAAAGCTTTTTCGAAGTCTATTAAGCAGGCGGCTACTCGTTGTTTTGCGTTTAGAGCCCAGCAGATGTCCGATGTATGTTTGTTTATTGCGTGAATTGTGGAGTGTTTGTGCCGGAAGCCGAATTGATTCTCTGGGATTATGTTATTTTTTGTGCAGAAGGAGGTTAGGGGGTTGTTTATGATTATTTCAAATACTTTGCTTATGTTGGGGAGGAGACTTATGGGTCGTAGGTTTGCGGGCGATGAGCCGTCTTTATCCTTTTTTGTAATAGCTATCAATTTAGCGACTTATGGGTCGTAGGTTTGCGGGTGATGAGCCGTCTTTATCTTTTTTTGTAATAGCTATCAATTTAGCGTTTTTCCATTTTCTGGGGAAATATGTGTTGTTTAGAGCATTGTTGAAGCGTACTGTGTAGTACCATTTTATTAACTTTAATAATTTAGTTTAATAATTAATAATACAATCGAGTGCGATATATCTTAAAGCACGGTACGACGCATAAACCCACGTCACAATTTTCACATTCATAGCGCAATAATGTTTTCTAAATTGATCTTCGCTTTCTATTTTGAAGTGATATTTTGAGGTTGAAGATATTAAAAAATTATAAGGATATGGGTCAGCATGTTAAGAAGAGCATCTAATAATGGTATATTTATTTCAACGGAAAGACTGTATATTCTGTTTGTATATTGTTAACACTGTTATAAAACATTGCGAAGACAAAAAAAGTGCGAAGCAAGAAAAAGGTCATTTAGTTCAAACGGTGAGCAAATGAGTCAGTAAAGTGAGCCACTATAGTGTCGCGTCGTAATATAAGATAACATTCGCGAAAGCCATCATAGTGGCGCATCGTAACTAAGAGATTAAATGAGAATTCCCCTATATTCTAGGTTGTGCTTTATGGACAAATAATCTCACAATACATAGAATAACACACAGAATCGTCCATACACAGAGGCGTCCTTGACCCACTAAAAAACCGAGTACCGTTGGTTCGTCCCGTGCCTCGCGGTTCTGTCACACATTGTCAACATGTATTGTATATAGCTTAGGAATAGGATTTTATATGTGAAAACCATACGTTACATTGCGTTTATAGCATTAGAAACACAATACTTTTAAAAAAGTACAGTTCCAAAAAACTCGGAATGATTTCCTTTCTCATCAAGTGCCAGTACGATATGGATATCTAACGCGAACTACGTACACAGGTTGTCTGATTTTAACTTATAAATGCGAATTACTAGTAATCTGCTTGCCGTGTAAGAAAAATGTTGAGATAGGAATTTAATGGTTTCGCGGATGTAATTTGTTTTTTTTTTTTTTTTTTGTAAATAGACGCATACGGGACATATGAAGGTAACATATGTTTTCTTAAATGGAATCATAATTTTTAATGCGCTAAAAATTATTAATCAATTCGTGTCTAATTAGGTTTGCAGGTATTTCAACTTTTATTTTGTAAAATCTATCGCTTAAAATACAAGAGAAGACGTAAGGCACGACCTTCATATTTGTTTTCCTTGCTTTCTATACAATACATTTTACAAAATGAAAGTTAAAATATCTATTGAATGAATAATTTTTCAATATGTATAGGATATTCATTTTTCATAAGAAATGTCGAAACGAATCAACTAGCGCATTAAAAATTATATAATTCTATTTAAGGAAACGCACATTACCTTCATATGATTCCTATGCGTCTATTTACAGAAAGACTAATTACAGCGAAACCATTAAATTCCTGTCTCAACATTTTTCTTACACGGCAAGCAGTTTACGAGCAATGTGCATTTATAGGCTAAATTCGGATTCTCTGTATATCAGAATCTTAAAATCGGTAGTCTGCCGAATAAGGAATAACGAATAAAATCTAGTTATTATATAGAAAACTGCCGAGAACGTGGGTTTCACTGATTTTTTACCACGTCAGAGAAATCGACGTTTTGAACAACTTTTTCCTTTGTATATTATCACTACTCGGCCTTACTTTGCGAGATCTTTGCGAAAATTTGTCGGTACCACCACTACAGTGAATGATACATATAATTTGTGTGTGTAGCACCGTATAATTTCACATTGTTTGTCAACTATTCTGCGTGGCCGGCGTTGATGTCCAGGTGACAGCGACAATTTCGTCCGTATCTCCGGCCTAGTCCGGAGCACCTTGAACTCTGTATGGTTCGGCCACCACCGCTAGGGCGACGGTGCTCTCCCGAATGGTTTGGTAGAGCAGGTCTTGCGCTCGTCCTGACCGTCCCAAGTTGGTCTGAAGGATACGCATTTTCTCAATCACCTAAGGTCATTGCTTCCACGGCTTCCTCCGTGCTAGCCTCCTTGCTCCCGGGCTTAGGGTCGGGGGTTCCCTGCAAAGGCGACCCCTTTTCGTTGCCAC